GAAGAGCGGCCTCTTCTTACCTGGGCAGCAGCCACGTGATAAGAAAACAGCGCTGACCACGTGACAGTAGAAGCCGGACCACCCTAACCCCCAGAGCCAGCCAATCCTTGCCCTCACGTGGCCCAGTTTGTCCCGCCTCCCAGTGAGGGAGGGGCGAAGAGGGATCCAACCAATCAACAGCCGGATCTGCAGACGTGCACGGAAATGGGACACCCGTTTCCGTGTAAAGCGGAAACGGCCTATTGCGGGCTGAGGAGAGCCGCAGCGGCGTTCCACTGTCACGTGAGGGGGCCGGTCCCCTCAGGCGGCGGTACCTCAATGAGCTACGCGAAGAGACCAATCGCGGGACAGCCTCGCAGGCCACGTGATGAGAGACCTGGCGCAAGGAAAGAGGGTCTGGAGACCCCGCAGAGTCGATGCGTCAGGTTGTGGAGTGGGGAGTCATCCTTAAACCCCAGAATGTGCCTAGTAACACGGTTCCCGAGGCCTTAAGGAGTGGGAGGGTCTTAGGAGATTGAACCTCAGGAGGTGGAGAGAACGCCCCCGCCATTTTGGTTAGGAGTGACAGATGCCTGAATTGGGGATGCACAAGTATAACCTGAGGAACCAGCTGTCCCTGGGTAGGGGGGAGTGATTAGGAAGACACGGCATGGCAAGACCATGCCTAGGTGAGGAAAGATGCATTTTAAAAAAAGGACAGAGTGAGACCCTGTAAATGGGATAGAAGATGATTAAAATGGGACTGAGGGCGCTCAGCCCTCTTAACTGAAACCCCAAAGCTGGAGACAGACTGGTGAATCGGTATGGGGTGTGGGGGAAGGGCTGCAGGTTGGGGATATGGAGAGAACACCAGGAAGTAGTGATGGTCCTTTTGTCCCTTATCCCCTTGCTGTTTCACTCTCCGGGACAGGTCTACCTCTCACTCTTGGGTCTCCTTCCCTTAACCCATCCCCCTAGGAGCCAGGACCTGTCCTACATAAACTCCCTGGGGCCCAAGCACATCCTGTGACCCAAAAATGGAGACAGGGGCCAATGAGAGGAGAAATAGGTGGGAGGAGGCAGGGAGAAAAACGCTCTTGCGTCACCCCCTACCCAGTATTCCCCCTCCCTCCTAGTTCTGGGGTCTCTGGTCTGCTCTGTGGGTATGACTGGGCATTTCCCAGGCTGAGTTCTTTCATACTTGCCTCTCTGGGGCTGGGGTCTCCCTGAGATCTCTGTCTTTGGGTTTGGAGTTTGTCTCTGAGATCTCTGTGGGGTCTTTCAGTACTTGCATTGGCATCTTTCTCAGGACTGAGTTTCATTGTTTTTTGTTTAGGGGGTTTCTGGGTCCGCGATCACCCTCTCTCAGAGATCTTAGAAACTCTTCTTTATGAGTCTGGGGTCTCTTGAGTTCTGCATCTCCGGGCTAGCTGAGTGTCTCCTGGCCCCGCCCCCACTGCCCCCAGGGTCTGGAGTATCTGTCCCTCGAGTTGTCAGTCTCCGAGTCTGCAGTTTCTTTTCTCTGAGATCTAAGTCTGGGGTCTCATATCTCTCTCTGGATCTGAGTTCTCAAAGACCTAATTCTAGGTCTGGGTTCTTTCTGAATCTGGGTCTCATCTATTTCTTTGAGTCTAGTTCTTAGGTCTCAGTCCCTGAGATCACGTCTGAGTCTTGAGCCTAAGATATCTGTGGCTATGGAGAACCTTTTTGAGACAGGATGCTCAGGTTTTGACCTTTGACCCATCTCGCAGAGTGGGGGGCGGGGGAGTCTGGGGTCTTTTTTTCTGAGACTGGGGTCTCTTTTCCTCTAGACTTTGGGTTTGTGCCTCAGATTATCCCCCGCCCTCCCACCACCCCGGGTGGCAAGGTGTCTTTCTCTGTGGGTCTGGGGTCTCCCCATCTCAGGGTCTGGGGTCTGCATCTTTAGAACTGCTCCCTCTGTGGTGTGTTTTTGAGTCAGGGGTCTCTCCCTCTCTGGTTCTCACTGAGTAGGGGTGGGGGCTGCAGAGACTCTCTCCTCCTCCTCCTCCTCCTCCTGCTCTTTCCTCTCGCGCTCGCTCCCCCGCCCCCCTCTCTCTCTCTCTCTCTCTCCCTCTCCCTGCTGCCGCTGCTGCCGTTGGCTCCTGTTCTCCTCCTCCTCCTCCTCTCTGCTCCTCTCCGCTCCTCTCCGCTCCTCTCTCCTCCTCCTCCTCCACCTCCTCCTCCTTCTCCCCCTCTCTCTCCCCCTCTTTCTCTCCTCTCTTTCTCCCCCGGCCCCCCCCGCCCCCCC